TGAGGCATTTTTGACGACTGCAGATTCAGCAATAAGGTTGCTCTCTGAAGCAACTAGGACAGTTAGAGATTGGAAGGGTTTGGAATACAGAGCAGCATTTCCCATGCAGAAACCTGCTGGTGCTAATTTCTACCCACCAGACATGGACAAAATGGTATCATTATGCTAAGCATATGCTGTCAAAAGAATTTGGAAATTTGAAAATGATAAAACTTTTATCTTTCAGGAGTTTGAATTATGGAAGGACAGTCTCGGAAAGGATGAACAGAAAGAGGCAACAGGATTTTTCAGTGTTATTAAAAGGCACAGTGAATTTATTTTAGATTCTCATCAGTCTAATAACAAAGCAGGTTCTCATGATCTATATATAGTTCCTTACTCTGAAGAGTACAAGTCTCTTCTTGCAAAAGCTGCTGATTTATTGCATAAAGCTGGGGACATTACCAGCTCACCAAGGTATGCTGTTTTTTTTTATCCATATTCTCATTATTAAGCTATCATTGTTCTGTTTCATGCTAAATACTACCTACAAATGCTGGTTAACTCATTCATTCCTGGTGTAGTTTGAAGAGGCTGCTACATAGCAAGGCTGATGCTTTCCTTTCAAATGATTATTATGATTCAGATATAGCCTGGATGGAATTGGTTAGTCATATTAACCTTTATAAAGTCATAGGAAAGTTGGTGAGGTTTGTTATGAGTGCTGAATAGTATTTAGCTACTCTCTCGTATCAAAAGAACTCCGTTACTTAGATATTCTATATCAAACATCTATGTAATTGTACTATTTGCTTCATTAATGTCAATGGGGAAGCTTATTCAAAGAATGCTAATTTTTATCAGGGTTCCATTTTGTGTGTCTGTATTCTCTTAGTCATGCGCGTAGACATGGATATGCTAAACTACTTTCATGATAGTGTTATGATATTTGGTCCTCTTTTCTTCCATATTTATTTCTTTCTTCTCCTGTATAGCATTTACTTACCAAGTTAAATCCGTTTCCTTTGTAAAACAAAATAGAAAACATCATGATTGTTTCTCTTAACTGCCTCTGGCTGACTAAATTTAAGGATTTATATGAGGTGATATTTTTTGATGTGATAAGGTGTTATTAATGTTATATTGTTTTAACTTGTTGCCGAATTGCTTTTAAAAATATGGGAGCACTTTTTTTCTCTCTCCTGCAAACCAGCAAGTAACAAGTCTAACCATTGGTAATTTACTGCTGCTTAGAGAAAATGTTACTTAGGGATCATTTTGAATCTAAATTTGACAAAATAATTTGTTTAATCTGGAAAAAAATGATCTAAGTAAAAGAATATCAGGAAACTTTGGCTTTGTCCGAACACACGGAATTCCTTTCTTTATGCATGTTTATATATTTCGACAGACATCCATCCACACACCAAACTAAATGCTTTTATAGGAACTTCTATGTTGCTTCTCGATGGGACTCAGAATCTGATCATGCAAAACATCAAATGATCACACATTGAGTCTAGGAAACCCTTTTCACTTGAAAATTATGCTTTCTCGGATAGGCTTTACTATCAGTAATCAGTTTGGGCAAAATATAGGCTTTCTGTAAATTATGTATGTTAGTATCCTTACTGTAAGTGTAATGTGTTTCCATTGTGATTAATTTTAGGATCATAAAATTATTGTTACCTTCTATTTTCTGTGCAGGACTCTAAGTTGGATGTCACTATTGGGCCATATGAAACTTATGAGGATAAAATTTTTGGATACAAGGTAATTGTTGACAATGAGACTTTGTGAAGTTTTTGCAATTAAAGTCCTTTGGTTATATTTAACTCGAATGATTTTTTCATATTGGAAAAGTTCATACTTGTCAAAATTATGCATTTTACTATTGACTGAAGTTGCATGACAATGGACATTCAAATTTTTTATTCTATTTATGTAATTTCAAATTTAGATCATGAAATCAGTGTCCTGCATGGTTTGACGAAGATTAAATTCTATTCATCACAAAGAATGTCAGTATTTACTGTCAGATTTTCGAACACATTGATAATTTTCATGGTTGCATCCCTTGTATTCTCTGAGTTTCTTAATAGTTTGAGCTACTTCTGCATAGTGAGATTGACCAGATGAGTCTATAGAGAGAGTATTGCAGTACAATCATAAGTAAAAATATTTTTCAATGACTGTCATAGGGAAAAATATCTTTCAGTGACTGTCATATGGAAAAATATCTTTCACATATCCATATATTATCTGGCGATAGTTACACTTGCCAGGACAATGTAAGTATCCGAAAGAATAAAAGATATGATATGTAAAGTTGCTTTGGTGAAATCATAAAATAACTTTGACCAGCCAGAGCTTTATGGACCTGGTTCTGATGTAAATTGAAGCATATCTGTTTAATCATCTATTGGATATGGATGCCATGTTCTAGGTTGAATCTCTAAATTCTTTTAACTATCATGAGCAAACAA